TTGTTTGGCGGGCCCGGGCTGGATTCAAACCCACCACCTTAGGTGTATGTGGCTGGCGCCTTAGCCACTTGAGCCACAGGTGCTGAGCTGGCAAGAGGATCTCTTAAGCCCAAGAGTTTGAGGTTGCTGTGAGCAGTACTGCCACGGCACTCTACCCAGGGTGACAGCTTGAGACTTTGTCTCAAAATTAAAAAAAAATAATAATAAAGTCAGTTGACTAGTAACTTTAATTCCATCTGCAATCTTAAATCCCCTTTGCCAGGTATCCTAACATATTCAAAGATACTGGGAATCAGGAAATGGACATCTTTAGGGGAATATTATTCTGCCTATTAAACATGGTAGATGACATTGATTGATTTTTGAAGACAGAACCAGTCTTGTGTTCCTGGAATAAACCTCACTTGGCATGGTGTATAATTCAGTTTGTCTCCTGCAGAATTCTCTTTCCTAATATTTTGTGAATGATTTTTTTCCCCATCTATTTACAAAGGATAGGGTCTGTAGTTTTCTTGCTTTATAATAATTCTCATGTATCCGGCTCTTACCCCTGTGCCCCTAAAGTTCAGTCCCTCTGTCCCTGACTGGGGTCCACCCACCCGCGTTTGAGCCCAGACCATACAGCTCTGCAGCTTTGGGAAGTCCCCATTCAGGGTTTTCAGCCTTGCTAGAGACTGGAGGGACTCACAACCCAAGGCTTCAAGGCCAAAGATCCCAGAATAGGTGAAGAGAACAAAAGCCGGGCTGACACCGCTGCTTGCTGTGAGATCCGCACGGAGAGGGACAGGGAAGGCGGGACTAGACTGAGGGGCTGATTGGTTAGATGAAGAACAGGTCTTGTAACTGATTGGATACATGAGACCCGAAAGTCCCTGCTGATTGGCCTATGGAAACGGCTGCCCATTACTCGACCCGGAATTGGGCGGAATCAACTATTTAATATTCACTGGCTGAGGCGGGAATTTAGCGTTTGCTACCGATTGGTTGCGGATGAAATTAGTGGCCCTGCTATGATTGGCTAGCGGTCTCCGTTCTGGTGCCATCCTGGAATCAGCCGACAGCCCTGGGTGAGCTGGGAAGTTAACGCTTTAGAGACTGGCGCCGGCTTGAGCACTATAAACCCACCCTTGTATGCACCAGGGCTGATTCTCATTTCAGTCTGCGTCGTTTCCCCGACCTCAGTTAGGGTTAGGTCCCCCAAGAGGGGTGGCCGTGCATCTCAGGCCTCAGTTTCCCTGCTCATTCCAGCAGGCTGAGTCCCTCGTGCACCCCAGCCTAGACTTCAGCCTAACAGGTGGTGGCCCCAGGTGCAGCCACTAGACCCTCGAACGCGAAGCCTCAGTTTTCGCCCTTGTACTAAGCGCTCGGTCATCAACCCCTCCTACAAGGTGGCCTCGGGCCGCAGTTCCCAATGACTTTCTCCCGTGCAGGCCAGGCCAGAAGCCTCAGTTTCCCCGTTCGCCCCAGCGGACCGAACTCCCACCCACGGGCGGTGCTCAATAGTCCCAGCGTTCCCTCCCACCCTCGGGGCGGAGCTGTGTCACGTGCGGGAAAGAAAGCGCGGGCGGGGCGCGGAGTGTAGAGAGGCGGGGAGTGTCGACGCAGCTATGGCGGGTAAGAACCCCAGTGGGTCCGGTCGGGCTGAGTGGCGGGGCCCGGAACGGTGGGGTCGCAGGACACTGCTGCAGCTGTCGCTTGCTGCCCGTAGCTCCGGAGCCGTTGTCCCTAGCGGGCGGCGCGGGCGAGGAGGCGCCAGAGGATGACGAGGACGAGGCGGAGGCCGAGGACCCGGAGCGTTCGGCTGGAGCTGGCGGCGGGCGCAGTGGAGGCGGC